TTGTTTCTTTACCTTTTGTTTTGGTGTCTCCTCAGTTCCTGCTGTTGCTTTACCTTTTGTTTTGGTGTCTCCTCAGTTCCTGCTCTTGCTTTACCTTTTGTTTTGGTGTCTCCTCTGTTCCTGATGTTGTCTTCCCTTGTTTTGGTGTCTCCTTAGTTCCTGTTGTTGTGTGTTATATAGTTTTGCCGTGTTAATAGAACCCGGATATGTGCTCGTTTCCTGTACGGAAATATGTCGGCGATTCAAATGGTCTATCTTAGTATTACATGTATAATGCTCGAATTATGATGTTAACATCTCCATCAACTGATATCATAATGAAGCTTGGATTGCCTAGGTAGCACACGGTAGTCCCATTCAGACCTAACGAGTGTGGGTTACAGAGGTTTATTGATTAAACTGTATGAAATATTGATTAAAGCTGTATTAAATATTGATTAAAACTGTATGAAATATCTATTAAAACTCTATGAAAAAAGGATTAAAACTGTATCAAATATAATATGGTTAAAATAAAATAAAATAAAAGGTAAGGAATGACGTTTTCAATAATTTAGTAAATCAATTCAGAATGCCAGAATAAGCTCCACTTAAATATGAGGGTAAATTAGATTATATTAATTTATCCAAATATTTTTCTATTAGATATTTGAATTTTATAGTTCTTTTATGTTTAAAAGTTGTGAAACATCTTGCTTTTCGAACTGAATTACATTTATGTTAAGTTCGAATCTCGTGTATTTTTCCGTGTTCTAGCATTCACTGAATATTATATCTGTATGGCTATTCACGTATAATTCGAAATAAACAACTTACATGTATACCACGTCACGTGAATCGTATACTTCGAGACAACATCATATACAATACACATTTTATGAAACAGTTTAACAAATGATTAACAAAGAATGTATTCACATATCATTTCATTAGATATTTTTGTTGTATGCAATTTTTTCGACCAACGGTACGAAATATTTATGTGGGGTCAAATTTAACTCCTGCAGAAATCCCGAGGAAACCTAACCCCAGTGACTCACACAGTGTTAAAGGTTTACTAACCAGGTAATTTAACAAAGCTTCAAAGCGCTACCTGTAACCGTAAACTTACACCTGTGATAAATCTAATTACATGATTCAGCGTGCAGGTAAGTGTCCTTCTGGTGAGATGGTACGTGGTTGGTCATGTGTATCTATCTAGCTGGCTTGTTAGCCAAGGGGTAAGGCGGGTCGATTTATACAAACTTTATGTAGGGAGATTAGGCACTTGTCATATAGTCCGGCCCGTGCCCCGGGGGTCCTAACGGTACTGGTCAGTCAGACATGTGAAACCATACTGACCACATGTCCTACTAATTAAGAATAGCACTGTAACGGATTGGGAAGGTGGGCTCTCATTCGGGCTTACGGCAGTTTTGTGCCTTTGGTACAGGGATAGAGTATGGATGGTGGCGTCCAGTACTTTCACAGGTCCACATAAGAAGTACAGAAGGGGATACCTTAGCGGAACAGGACCATCTCGCATTAATTTAACCTATTTACTTACTTACCTCATGGTGTAACGATATCCAGGTATGTAATTTAAGCATAATGTTTTAATCGCTGAATTCATGTTTACTTTATAAGATCGTTATTTGCAAAACAAGATGTCTAGGTAATCAAGTAACGTTGTTGATTATTCTCTTAAAGGTGGACTTATTATTATATACAAATAATAAGTAATTAAGTCTTAAAAAAGATATCATTATCTGGCATAAATAAAGAACTAAGTATTTTACTGGAATATATATATCTTATATAACTATAACAAATTGAGTCTTTAAAAGGAATAATTTTCTTATAAAAAATCAATTATAATAAACTTAGCCTTAAAAAAGGGATATTTTTTTCTTATGTTTATCATAAGGAATGAGGTATTCTACTGGTATATTGTATACAGGGCCATTCCGCCATGAAATTCAATTTTCGCCCTGTACATTTGATTAGTCTATATCATGTTGTTTACTTATATTCGCTGTAGTGGTAAATTCACCGTCCTTACGGACAGCGAAAAAGGTTAAAATTAAACTGCAACGACATTTTTTACACACAGTTCCCTATGTGTATCACAAAACTCTTGTACAACGCCGAAACTTTGCTGGAGAAGAGGTGGCAGTATGTAAAAGCACACTAACATACGCTTTGTTCGTTATTCGGACCGCTTATTATGACTCTTCAGGAATACTCACCTTTTCAAACGAAAGCAAAATCACTGTAAAGTGTGGGAGTTTTTAATTATGTTCTTTGTGAATTGAAGGGTCATCATACAGCTATAGTTACCTCCCTAAGCCCAAAAAGAGGGATTTTTATGACGATCTAAATAAGTCTGTCATCAAGGTGTACATACTTACTAACATACAAAAGATTGTGTAGGTAGCAATTACACTGCCTTGGTTTACATCTCATTTAAAGCGTGGTACAAATGAAAACTATTCATTTCTGTTCAATTCAACTTGTTGTCGTACATTGACAATCCTAATATACTTAGGTGGCAATAATAAATTATAAACAAGTAAAAGAATATGTACTAAAGTAGATTATACATGCCTCAGTTCCAACCTCGTCAAATCTTATGACTGCTTAATAAAAAAAGCATGTCTAGGAACACTTATTTCGGTCCGGAACATTAATTTATATCACATATATAAAGTTTGTAGTAAGGCTTGCGCTAAAACCGCTCAGGCAATGCACTGAAATATTAGTAATTTTTCGTTTCTTTTTCCCCCCAATTAGATAGAGAGATAGTCTCAATAGATAGAGAGATAGTCTCAATAGATAGAGAGATAGTCTCAACAGGGATGTATACACCATGTGCTATTATGCTCATGAACCAGAATACACCGCATTCATCAGTTAGTGAACAAAGCTGTGTTGACTAACTGACCACAAGTTAGCACCAGAAGGAAGTTTTATCTCTAGGCCTATGTAAACCAAATCAATCACAGGAGGGCACAGGCTTCAACCCGTGCTCTTTTTACGATGACATTATGTGAAGTAATAAAAAATAATAGAAGATATTAGTATATAAAAGTATAAACTTTTCTGTTGCTATTTTATTTATTTTAAATGATTTTATTTTTGCGAGTTCATATTTCCTCTTGTATTCGTCAATGACATTTTCGCGATAATTTCAATCTACAAGTATTAAGGTTGATATATGTGGATAAACGAATAATGATAAAATATAAAGTTACATTTACAAATTTCTGTATACACCTGTAGAATCTAATGTACTTCCATAAATTACATTTTCGCGAGTCTTTTTGCATTTAGCCTTCTATGAAATATTCGCGATAACATCAATCCGCAAATATTACTATGATATACAATTGTATGTGGAAAAATGAATACTGATAAAACACACAGAGTTGTATATGATTATTTCTCTTTACAACTCAAAAAAATCTACTGTATTGTACAAAGTAAAACAAAATATATGCAATATCCATACAATGTTGGGAATGCGGAGGGGGTAGTCGAGTCCTAGATCCGATTTTGAGCAAACTTGATAGTTTCAATAACATCTTCGTGGGGAATACTGACTTAATTCTTTTTAAATTTAGTTATTATTGATGGCCTTTTGTTGGTTTACTGATATATTTTATGTGATAATACAACTCTGATTAGAAATTAATAACACATTGTTTTATTCAGAAATTTAGGGCGCATTTACATTAAATTGAAACCCCCCCACAAAATCAATTATTCAAAGGTATTTCTTGTAAAATAAGGTGTCAGTTAAGTGTTAAACTGATAGATGTCATGTTTCGTTAAGTGGAACAAATTATCTCAGCTAAAAGGAATATTACGAGCTATTTGAATAGGGTTTCGTTTTTCGTTAAAAACGAGAAAGCGCTGGTTTTAAACTTATTTCATCGATTTATTTGGGTGTTATTTTTTTATTGGAACCACTCCTCTACTGATTTCCTTGATATGTATTTATCAGTGTTTCATGTGTTCCTTCCGTTATCTTCTCGTCCTTTTGTTTTGACAATGCGGCATTTTCTGATTCATTTTCATGCAAGTTTATCTATCTAGTCTAGATCTGATGGGTGATGCTGCTTACGAATAAATTCCTAACTGTGTTACTTGGGAACGTTTAACGTTGACGTCATAAAGTACATAACGTGTAAAAGAAAGGAAAAAAGGAAAACATTCCAGTGAAAATCAATTTAATACACATTAGGTGACATTGTAGATCGATATGTTACTCCCGTCAGAAGAAGAACGGTTTGTGACGGTTGACTTTGTAAAATTGAGATGGTAAACACACCCAGAGAAGAGACATTATTTGGTATACAATGTTTCCCTTCAATAGAAGTAGTAGTTGTAGTACTACCACCACTTTTCACATTAATTAACTCATTCACCCCTACATATTTAAACTGGACTAGCCCAGTCCTTTACTTGGTAAGGTTCAAATGCGACTTTCGGGGTGAATGGGTTAAAGTTTACCGTTTAGCGTTAAATGTTGTGGTGCTTTTTGCTTCTTTTTTTTTTTTATATATATATGACGTTAATGATATTTAACGTTTAAGTTTTTTTCTTCTCAGACATTAGATGCATATTGCAAAAGGTGATATTGAGGCCGATATGATAATAGATTACTTTATTTCACGAGCACTAGACATTTTTAAAACTTAGTTTTAATCGAAAACAATAGCGAGTTTAGGATTGGGTAGCAGCACGTTACGACACTGGTGTAACACGTCACATTTGTAAACAGGCGGGAATAGAACCAGGCCCTAGTTCCACGCGGACGTTCCCTGACTTAATTTGATTCCGTACTTGCAGGAGTTCCCAGTTTTTTTCTTTGCCTCTATTTACTGCACATCATGGAATATCCTCATTTGAACGAAACAATGTTGTGCGAAAAAAAGAGATGCTTTTCAATCCGTAATTATTTTGCAAATTTTGAAATCAATTATTTATTCCGTATTTCAATGTTTGTCTCGTTTCAGCACACAACCATGGCGGGTATGAATATGAAGATGTCGATGAGAAATGTCCCCGAAGTTACTCCTGGTAATTTTCTTAGATTATGTGCACCGGAAGTGCACAGACCAACACCTAGCCTTCCCCATCCCACATGGCGACCATCACCGGAAGTACATATTCAAGAAATTATGTCATCGTCATTACGTACGCCTCTGCATCCGCTACAGCACATGCGCCAACAACAGGAACTAGCTATGCAAGCCAGACAGCAAGAGCAGTTACAATGTGAACAGTTTAACTTTGAACTTCACCAAGCTCGTCTTATTCAGCAAAATGTCTTAGCAACTGGAAGACAGTTTTTACCCACACCTTCGACAATGTCGATACCCCCCTCCATGGGAAATTCCCCAATATCACCTCCAGTGACTTTGGTGCAACAGCAATGTAACACTCCGAAGCAATTGTCCCCAGCACCGGCAGCTGAGGCGGACATTCCTTGGTGGAGTGTACAAACTAGCGCTACACCGGTTCCGCCGGATGTTAAACCAGAAATTCACTCCCACTTCCTATACGCGCAGCAGGCAGGGGGCGTGGCCGATCTTCAGTACCACGCCCACATCGCCTCTGTTATGCATGGAATGAAGTCAGCAATAACCCCGACTCGACGGTGCAGGCGTTGCAGATGTCCCAATTGTCAAAATTCGAAAAACTCTGACAATCCCGCTAAAAAGAAACAACACATTTGTCACATTCCGGGTTGTGGAAAAGTGTACGGGAAAACATCGCATTTGAAAGCTCACCTCCGCTGGCATTCTGGGGAGAGGCCATTTGTATGTAATTGGTTGTTCTGTGGAAAAAGTTTCACGCGATCCGACGAACTACAGCGTCATCTTCGAACGCACACGGGAGAAAAAAGGTTTGGCTGCCCGGAGTGTGGAAAGCGATTCATGCGCAGTGATCATTTGAGCAAACACGTAAAAACACACGAAAACAAAAAGTTAAAACAAACATCAGTCGATTCAGGCGAGGATGCGTGCACTATCGATAGTGACGATGAAGATATTGATGTGGATGGCCTGGACGATGATTCTGACGTCATGGATGAAAATATCGATATATCTTGCGACTATCCTCCGAACTGACCTTCTAAGGGAGATTATTAGAACTGTGATATTCGTTTAAGTGCTTTCATTACTTTTTTCTTCTTTCAGTAATTCTGTATGTTTATAAGATCTCTAATCATTCAAAATGTGCATGCGTATTTAGATGACTGTAGTGACTTTATTTTAACGTGATTACTTATTAAGTGCATGACACCGTTATAGTGCTGGAAGATTTTACTAGAAGACAAATTTACAAGTTCAGAGAATTTTGTGCTTTAAAAATAATCGTTTTCATTTTAAAGGGTTGTGTGGTATTTATATATACAAATGTGTGAGTATGCAGTCGCCATTCGTTGTAACGATCTGAAATACCTTGAATTTCGCAGCCATTTGTTGTTAAACATTATAACTCGGATAACTCGAAGTATCTCAACATTTATCTGGAATAACTATAGGTACCTTTTATCTCAGATATCTGTAGTATACTGTTATCTCAGATATCTGTAGTATCTTTTTATCTCAGATATCTGAAATATCCATTTATCTCAGATATCTGTTATCTTTTATCTCAGATATCTGTAGTATACGTTTATCTTGGATATCTGTAGTATACTTCTATCTAAGATATTTGTAGTATCCTTTTATCTCAGATATCTGTAGTATACGTTTATCTCAGATATCTGTAGTATCCTTTTATCTCAGATATCTGTAGTATACAGTTATCTCAGATGTCTATAGTAACCTTTTAGCTCAGATATCTGTAGTATACTTTTATCTCAGATATCTGTAGTATCCTTTTATCTCGGATATCTGAAATATTGATTTATCTCCGATATCTGTAGTATCCTTTTATCTCAGATATTTGTAGTATATTGTTATCTCAGATATCTGTAGTATTCTGTTATCTCAGATATCTGTAGTATACTGTTATCTCAGATATCTGTAGTATCCTTTTTCTTGGATATCTGTAGTAAGTTTTGTCCCAGATATCTGTAGTAAGTTTTATCTCAGATATCTGTAGTATACGTTTATCTTGGATATCTGTAGTAACTTTTATCCATGATATCTGTAGTATACTGTTATTTCAGATATCTGTAGTATACTGTTATTTCAGATATCTGCAGTATCCTTTTATCTCAGATATCTGTAGTAAGTTTTATCTCAGATATCTGTAGTATACGTTTATCTTGGATATCTGTAGTAACTTTTATCCATGATATCTGTAGTATACTGTTATTTTAGATATCTGTAGTATACTGTTATTTCAGATATCTGTAGTATCCTTTTATCTCAGATATTTGTAGTATATTGTTATCTCAGATATCTGTAGTATTCTGTTATCTCAGATATCTGTAGTATACTGTTATCTCAGATATCTGTAGTATCCTTTTTCTTGGATATCTGTAGTAAGTTTTGTCCCAGATATCTGTAGTAAGTTTTATCTCAGACATCTGTAGTATACGTTTATCTTGGATATCTGTAGTAACTTTTATCCATGATATCTGTAGTATACTGTTATTTCAGATATCTGTAGTATCCTGTTATTTCAGATATCTGTAGTATCCTTTTATCTCAGATATCTGTAGTAAGGTTTATCTCAGATATCTGTAGTAAGTTTTATCTCAGGTGTCTGTAGTAAGTTTTATCTCAGATGTCTGTAGTAAGTTCTATCTCAGATGTCTGTAGTAAGTTTTATCTCAGATGTCTGTAGTAAGTTTTATCTCAGATATCTGTAGTATACGTTTATCTTGGATATCTGTAGTAACTTTTATCCCAGATATCTGTAGTATACTGTTATTTCAGATATCTGTAGTATACTGTTATTTCAGATATCTGTAGTATACTGTTATTTCAGATATCTGTAGTATCCTTTTTTCTCAGATATCTGTAGTAAGTTTTATCTCAGATATCTGTAGTAAGTTTTATCTCAGATATCTGTAGTAAGTTTTATCTCAGATGTCTGTAGTAAGTTTTATCTCAGATGTCTGTAGTATACGTTTATCTGGGATATGTGTAGTACACTTTTATCTCAGATATCTGTAGTATCTTTTTGTTTGATATCTCTGCCACCTTTTATCTCGATTATCTGTGAAAATACATTTCTTTATTTTTTCACGAATTTGACATAAGGGGGATCGACTGTATACAATTTTTGTCATGTTAAGACAGTGCTTACGGAGATGATAAATTCATTTCAAAGAAAATAAAAAGACTTTTTACATTAACAATTAAAGGAACTTGTTTTATATCAATGTATCTTCTGGAATCGATACGGTGGGGGACTGAATCGGTTTTGTTGTCGAATATGTAATCGATTATTTGAACAACCGTTTAACTTGATGATAACTGTATGGATTGAACCACTTATTGAATTATTGAGTTCCCGATTCATTTATTGAATATCTTATTTATTGAATATCTTATTTATTTATTGAATATCTTATTTATTGAATATCTTATTTATTCAACAACGGAGTGGAATCTTGTTCCTCTAGTGATTTATTTTGTTTTGCCTACTGTCGGACCTGGTAAGTCTTTTGTCAATTCTAAAACAACATGACAACATGACAACATGAGACAACATGACAACATGAGACAACATGACAACATGAGACAACATGACAACATGACAACATGACAACACGAAAGAACCAAACTTCAAACGAGTGTATCATTTTTATGGTATCCCGGATATGAACAAAAGTCACCATTTCTCCAATTGGAAATACACTGAGTGACCTAAGAGTACAATTTTGTATTGGATTAGTGTTTAGCTTATTAGGTATGATATGATATGGTTGAAGAATATGAATTAGGATTTCCGTTCCGGTGCACAGTCGTGATGGCAAAAGATTTGTCATCTTAACCAACATTCGTTGTTTTTATTTAGATAAGGAATTCAGTCCTAAATATCTAGAATAGCCATTTATGTATTTGTATTTACTAAAGTTTGGCATTTTTTCATTTTGTAGATTCAACGTATCCTATTTAAATGATTACTTCATTATTCTAAATTAGCGTATTTTTTTTCATTAATTTGTCGTATGATGACCATGCTTTTCCTAGTACGGTTAAACTGCTACTAATTATGCTAAGCGTAAACAAATGGTCCCTTTGACGGCATAAACAACATCTGCCGAGAGACATCAAATACACATAACCCTTAGTTCCTCACAATTACGTAATTTATGCAAATTAGACCAATGTCGCGTGTCACTTTATACCATTGACAGAACTTATAAAAAATACAACATATGAAAAGCTTTGGCAACCATCCCTTTTTTACGTTGGAGTAATTTAAGAATTACACTTTATTTTTGGGACTTCAAAGATTACTTACACCCTCGTGCCAATGCAAAACAAAAAAGTCACTCGCATTAGAAACGTTCTGTTTTGTTTTTCCGGCGTGACTACAGCATTGTTAAACCATTTCTGAAGAGAAAGCCATACCTTACAAGACATTTATGACAAAGAAATAATAACGATAATATTTTTTATTAATATTTTAAGTTTTTTTCTTAAAATTCGAGATGGTTATCAAAATGTCTTAACATCTATTTCTAAGTAAAAGAACCCACAAAGAAACATCAATTACCACAGGTCAGAATTGTCTAAAATGTGACATTTTATTTAACTGTTGAAATTCAAAATAACATATCATTTGAATCATTTAAAGCTTTGATACATTGAAGTTTGTTGATTAATTTAATATAGGAAATATACAATAAACAAGATTAATGTACACCAGAAATAGGTGTCCTATTTCAATTTTCTCATTTTCGAATAAAATTTTCATATTGATCGTTAAGATACTATCGTTATTTCTATTTTTTATCCTCTTCAATGAAAAACTTGTTTGATTTGTGTGAAAACACAGAAACCTGAAAATTTGGACTGATGTTTGTATAAATACATTGTGTATATAATACTTCCCTGATTTAGTAAATGTTGATGCAGTGAAATATTTTTAATTACCCTACAAACTCCTATATACAGTTTACAGTGAAACTCATATTACAATGAATTGTACATTTACCCCTCTGGATCTACCCAATTGCTTTTTTTTACTGATATTTCTGATAGTCCTATATAAACTTCATTTATTTTACAACAATTATTAAACAAGTTTTTACAACTTATATTAATCACTCTTCTTGGCCCGGATGATAGCGCGCGGGGGTCTAATAATAAAACTCTAATGATTCTATACTTTGTTTGCATTATGTCATATAAGCGATGTATACTTATGTGAAATTAATTAAAAGCCATGATTTGATCACTAAAAGGAGAACGTTTCTAGTACGGCACCGCTACAGGTCCTCCCCACTGCACTCTGAACTCCGCTTTCATTCCGTGCTCTAAAGTTATATAATATTTCCTGATTTTCAAGCATTTATCTAGTCTATTCTTAAATGAAAGCGTTTATGACCTTTGATGGTAAATTATTCCAAATGTTGCCCACCCTGACTGTAAAATATTTCTTTCTTTTATATGTTAAAGCTTGTTGTGGGTATATCCTACACGAGTGGCCTATGGTGCTGTTTTATATGTCAAGCTTGTTGTGGGTATATCTTACACGAGTGGCCTCTGATGCTGTTTTATATGTAAAGCTTGTTTTGGGTATATCCTACACTAGTGGCCTCTGGTGCTGCTTTATATGTAAAGCTTGGTGTGGGTATATCCTACATGGGTGGCCTATGGTGTTGTTTTATATGTAAAACTTGTTGTTGGGATATCCTACACGAGTTGCCTCTGGTGCTGTTTCATATGTTAAAGCTTGCTGTGGGTATATCCTAAACGAGAGGCCTCTGGAGCTGTTTTATATGGAAAGCTTGTTGTGGGAATATACTACACGAGGGGCCTCTGGTGCTGTTTTATATGTAAAGCTTGTTGTGGGTATATCCTACACGGGTGGCCTATGGTGCTGTTTTATATGTTAAAGCTTGTTGTGGGTATATCCTACACGAGTGGCCTATGGTGATGTTTTATATGTAAAGCTTGTTGTGGGTATATCCTACACGAGTGGCCTCTGGTGCTGTTTTATATGTTAAAGCTTGTTGTGGGTATATCTTACACGAGTGGCCTCTGGTGCTGTTTTATATGTTAAAGCTTGTTGTGGGTATATCCTACACGAGTGGCCTCTGGTGCTGTTTTATATGTTAAAGCTTGTTGTGGGTATATCCTACACGAGTGGCCTCTGGTGCTGTTTTATATGTAAAGCTTGTTGTGGGTATATCCTACACGAGTGGCCTATGGTGCTGTTTTATATTGTAAAGCTTGTTGTGGGTATATCCTACACGAGTGGCCTCTGGTGCCGTCTCTTTCCGTTACATTGTTCCACATTTTGATCAAGGTACATGCCTCGCTGTCGTATATTCCCTGTATGTACGCTAGTGTAGGTAGTCTTTCTGGGTAGGTTAGGTTTTGTACTCCAGGAAGCCGTTTGGTGGGGCTCTTCTCTGTACCCCTTCTATTGTTTTCTATGTACTTGCCGTTTGGTGTCTCTTCTCTGTACCCCTCCTATTGTTTTCTATGTACTTGCCGTTTGGTAGGGCTCTTCTTTGTACCCCTTCTATTGTTTTCTATGTACTTGCCGTTTGGTGGGGCTCTTCTTTGTATCCCTTCTATTGTTTTCTATGTACTTGACTTTATACGGAGACCATACAGAACATGACAAATCTAGATGTGTGTTTACCAGACTCTCACACAGTCGTTTGAATGTTTCTTCGTCTAGATGTTGACTTTTAACATAATTCTGATCTTGCTTTAAAATCAATTGTACATACTTCACGCTCGACTGATCGCGAATTCTCGAAACGATTATGGTGCATGAAGGCTGAAACTGAACCCGGATCCTCTAGCTTGAGGATCATTGGCGTAAACCTACTACAAGGCTTTTCGTAGCGCCAGTGGAAACGACAATGACTTTATTCTCATAAACTGGTCACAGTGTAGAGTATTTACATACAACACATTTCTAATTACACAAGGGTACTAATTAGTGGAGTTAATTCGACCACTTATAACCTTGATAAATTTAACTATTGAGACTAATAACATAATTGAACAGAGTATTGAACTGAGATATGCTAGGTCTTTCAACAAAGTACCCCGATAAAAACAAATCACCTATTAAATAAAAACAAGAGATCCAAGAGAGATCTTGGCGCCCACCTTCGTACCTACTTAATTAGTTCTATGTCAGAGAGATCTTGGCGCCCACCATCGTACCTACTTAATTAGTTCTATGTCAGAGAGATCTTGGCACCCACCATCGTACCTACTTAATTAGTTCTATGTCAGAGAGATATTGGCGCCCACCATCGTACTTACTTAATTAGTTCTATGCCAGTTCGATTTTTTCTCTTCTTTTCTCCTATTTGTTTGATCGAGTCATGTACACACTAAATGCACCTTGAGGTAA